TCACAAATCATGTCCACCAGTCCCTGAACCATTTTTGTCACCCTCCGCTGATTCTCTCCAACTTGTCCACATCCTTTCTGTAGTAGGGTGCCCAAAGCTGGACACAGGACTCCAGATGTGGCCTCCCCAGTGCCAAATAGAGGGGAAGAATCAGTGCCCTTGATCTGCGGGCAATGCTCCTACCAATGCAGCCCAGCATGCCATTAGCCTTCTTGGCAACAAGGGCACACCACTGGCTCCTATTCAGCTTCTTGTCTCCCGTCACCCCCAGGTTGTTTTCTGCAAAACTGCTGCCCAGCCAGTCAGCCCCAGCCTGCACCGGTGCATGGGATTGCTCCGTCCTAAGTGCAGGACTTTGCACTTGCCCTTGCTGAACCTCATGAGGTCCATGGGAACGTTGATAGGATCTTCATTCAAGTGACATTTTTTAAACAGGTGGCTTTTCATTTTCTGCTGTTTTATTTCCTTTTTTATCATTTAAAAAAGTTTTTCTATAGAGCTTGATCATTTAAAAAGCTAGCAGATTCTAAACTGATGCTTCTGTTTTTGAATTTTTACATATATAAAGCTTGAGCAAATGTTTGCATCACACACCCCACTTATTCATTTTGTTATCATTTATTGCAGGCTAAATTTTTCTCTGGGTGGTGTGCTTCAATAGGGGCTCTTTTTTCCTTCTTTTTTTTTTTTTTTTTTTTTTAAGTGCAAGCTAAATTGTTCTACTTTTCACCAGACCTGAAATTTTAACAGATGATTGCTAGCTGTCACTTTTTGAGGGCTATAAAGTAAATAGGTCACAGTCCTTATTTTGTAATAGATGAAAACATCATCTATAAGGCCTGTAATAGTCAATGTCCTGTGCCATAAAGGAGTTGAGGCTAGAAAATCTAACTGTTCCTTCTGTCCTTGTGTGAATCTAGGAACTGGTAAAAATATTTTAAGTGTCTGAGCTGATGTAGGGGGAAAAAAAAGATCTTCTCTGCTTCCTGCAGTCCTCCGCCCAATGATACACACGTCTCTTGCCAAGGCAACAACTTGGAAACATAGCTTGAGGTTTCCTGAGAAGGATGTCTGACAGAACAACTTTAATTATAATATATAAAAACAGTTTCGAAGGGGATGTTAAAAAGGGATGCACTGTTTTTCATGCAGATGCATAGATCCTGACAATCACTAGCGTCTTTTC